TGGGGAGATGTTAGCATGGGGAGAGAGGGGGTGGGGAGATGGGGTTGGTTAGCCCAGGGAGTATTTGAGGTCTGGAGCAGAGACAGTTTGATGTTGAGCCTGGAATAACTCAGGTGGAGCCAGGAGGGAGAGCGTTTGATACTGGACTGATGGTGGGTGACAACAGCTTGGGGTAGGATTTGTTTTTGTTGGGGGTGAACCTGGGGCTGTCTCTTACCTTCTTGAAGAGGGTGATGGTGTTGTGGGTAATGTTATATTTCTCCCAGACAGCGCTCTCTGAAGTGATACCAAAAGGTAAATTCCTGACGGTGTCCACGAGGTCGTTAAACGTCACTGCATCGTCGGATTCCAGATCCTGTGGGAATGGCCAAAGGACAACTTAGGAAGGAAGCAATCCCACAACACTCACTGCTCAGGGCCAGCAAATACAGGAATTGTACCAAACAGCCACACCACCCCCTCTCCTGCCCCCCCACCCCTCCCCTCCCCGCCTGGTGAGTGATACTGAGGTTGAATGCAGACTGCAGGTCTCCCAGGTGGGCACAGCTACTGTTTAGTGGAACAAACATGAAACAGAAACAGCAGCTGATGAAGAAATGTCACGGAACCCCTCAGGAGCGATGGACAGATGGTAAATCTCTGTCACGGTACACTCCCTCAAGCCATGAGCGTACGAGATACTGAACAGGAGCTCACCTCTTTCACAGCACCTCTCGGTCTCTCAGCCTGATGTATGGCCCAGCACAGAGAGTCACTGTGTGAGCAGTTTACCACAGCACGTGTGGCAGAACATTTATACATAGTAAGAGCTCGCAAACAGGAACAGGCCAATGACAAAACCATCTCCATTAATACTGCCGGTAAAAGACACATGTTACTGCGCCAAATACCCTTGTTACTCTACCAATGGAGAGCACGTTAAACAGAATTCACTGGGAAACAAGGCCCTACTATCACATCTCATCTTAAAGAAAGCCCCTCCAACAGTGCAGCTCTCCCTCAGCACTGACCCTCCGACAGTGCAGCGCTCCCTCAGCACTGACCCTCCGACAGTGCGGCGCTCCCTCAGTACTGACCCTCCGACAGTGCGGCGCTCCCTCAGTACTGACCCGCCGACAGTGCGGCACTCCCTCAGTACTGACCCTCCGACAGTGCGGCACTCCCTCAGTACTGACCCTCTGACAATACAACTCTAGCTCAGTGCTGAGAGGTTGGGGTGTGTTACAACACAGATGGACTAAGACTGACAATGAGGGAATGAAGAATATTACAGACCTTGATAAAACCGATGATACAAATTCGAGCCTCATTGATAAAATCTTCAGTGGTCGAGACATTTTTTAGGAACCAAATTCTTCTAGATGCATCTGTAAAACACTCATAATTAGATAATTCAGATGGCGAACAATCCCTCTGCTCCCTCAGCACTGACCCTCCGACAGTGCGGCACTCCCTCAGCACTGACCCTCCGACAGTGCGGCACTCCCTCAGCACTGACCCTCCGACAGGGTGGCGCTGCCTCTGTACTGACCATGGAATTTATTTTGAAATCATTGGCTGGACCCAATCCCCTAACCCTTTCCGTGAGGTTTTAGTTTGTGACCTGATGAGCTGGTTAGTGGATTGAATTTACCTGGTTATATGTGATAAGCTCTGATGTGGTCAATGCTGTTAGCTCTGGGAGGTGGAAGATTTGTTTTAGCTGCAATGTTTCATTCTGACTTCCCCGATTTGATTAATTTCTTAGCAGGATTTCCCAAATCACCGAGTTCCAGATGAATTGGGTGAGGAACAGGCTCCTTTTCATTATTCAGCCTCTTTCTCCATTTATTGCCACAGGTTAATTCAAAAGCTGCGTGGCATCTCTCAGTCCAGGCTCAGACTGCTTTGCCTGTCGTGTGGTAAAGCCATTATGCTGAAGTTTAGGATCAACCTTCTCTGTTTCTCTCCACAGATGCTGCTGGACGTGTTGAGTTTCTTCAGCAATTTCTGTTTTTGTTTGGATTGTTTGGTGCTTTAGCAGTTGGTTAATCTGCTCCCGATCCTGGGCTAACTGCACTGCGCTGGGTTGATTGGAAGATTTCCTTATGGCCCTCTCCCACATTCACAAGATGTGCGGTTAAGGGTGGGGGGTGCTGCCTGGATTATCTCAGAGAAATCAGTGAATACAGTCACAGCCTTGTATCTGCTCACTGCCCCGTAGCCTGGCAGGTCAATAAAAGTTCTTACATTTGCCACTGTTTCTGAATTGATTAGTCAGGTTGTAGAAAGTTCAATGTGCTCCTCACCCATGTTTCTCTTTGCAATTCTTCCCTGCTCCTACTCTGATCCTCCAGGTCAGGGACAGTGGGATTGGCCTGGCCTCCTGGTAATGTTGCTTTCTCACATTGACCTGACATAACGTTTGCTTTTGTTTTGTTGAGCTAATCAAATGCTGAGCTTCTTAGCTATTCTGTACCAGCCACTGAACTGGGCTTTTAAGTTTGTACCTGACACACAGCATGGTGGCTCAGTGGTTAGTACTGCTGCCTCACAGGGCTAAGGGCCAGGTTTTGATTCCACCCTCGGGCAACTGCCTGTGTGGAGTTTTCACATTCTCCCCATCTCTGGGTGCTTTGGTTTCCTCCCCACAGTCCAAGGATGTGCAGTTTAGGTGGATTGGCCATGCTACGTTGCCAATTTTGCATAGGTTTGGTGGATTGGCCATGGGAAATGCAGGTTTTCAGGAATGGATCTGGGTGGGCTTCTTTGCAAAGGGTCCACACTGTAGGGATTCTATGATTATCAGGCAAAACACTAACATAAAGCTTCGGGTACTGGCTTGTTAATGTGCTCTTTGTTTCATCATTGTCTGGGACATTTTCATCTGTTGTCAGGCCCCTTCACAATTTCATAAGAATTACTCTCAGAACTTTGCTATGTAGTCTACTGTGGAGACTTCTTCTTTCTGTCGAAAATCTTCCCTTTGGTTAGTTTCTGAGGTCTAGGTCCTCGCTGACCAAAACCAATTTTAATCTGCCTCCCACTAATCTCTCTGTTTCATCATCCACAGTTTCCACCCATAAACCCTTCCACTGCAGAACACACCCCTTTTACAATTTCAGGTTTTTCTGTCTCCCAGGCAAAATTCAAATCACAGGTGCTTCACTGAAGCTTGTTCAAGGGAAAGAACTTCTAAATCCTCAAAAATTAACTTCCCCTAATTCTAGGAACACACTGACATCAAAGGCAATTTAACCAAGTTTTCTTGATTCAGAAAACAGTGAGTTTATCAGTTACTGAACACAAGAAAAAATAATAACTGAGCACACAAACACACAGATTGGGCCTAACAAGTGTGTCTGAAAAACAGTTTTAAAGAAGGGGTCAATCTCTGACCTATCTGTGAAAACTAGCGCGTCAAACATTGCAGCCATATTAGTGGATGTTGCTGTATCATTGACATTGGTAATGGATCTGTCAATCCTGAGATTGTTCCCCGTGCAGGTTGATTGAAATCCCTTTGGCCTGATCCCTTTAAACAGTGGCTAGTTGTAGCTGTCAGGGTGAGAACAGTGTTTCCCTTTCTTTACCTGTAGTGCAGGGGTGTTTAATGGCAAACCCCAAAGCTGTGACCTTGACAGCTCACTAGTTCACTCAGTAGAACGTCACTACCACCCATGGGCTAGGTCTGAAGGTCACTTTTAACCCCTGTCCCAGTGTGTTCTTTAAAGGGGGCAAATATGTCTCTCTCCCAGACTGCTGTCTTTTTATTAATCATTATGTTCATAGCTTGAGATACTCAGAGGATTACACTTCCATTTATAAAGCATTTGTCTCTTTGAAGGTTCCTTGACAACTGCAGGTCTTCAATTTCTGTTTCTCTCTCAGTCCCTCTTTCTTTCTTGCTCTCTCTTTCTTACTCTCTTTTTCTTTCTGTTTCCTTTTCTCTCTCTCTTGCTCTCTCTCTTTCTGCCAGGTATTTGTTTTTTCTTTGTGGGTTGCATGTTGCCAACTTCAGTTCAATGATTAGCTTTGAAATCAATAACTCGTGAGCTTCTTATAATTTTCTCATGGGCAGTAGCTTAGCTGTAGAGTATAGATCGAGTGGGAGATTGTTCCAGGCAGGTGAACACAGTATAAAATCTTTGGCTGCTGAATGTTTTGTGCCATGAAGTTTTGTTAGAACAATTAATGTATAAGAACACAAGAAACAGGAGCAGTTGGAGGCCCTTCAGCCCCATGAGTCCTACTGAACATTCTGTAACATCATGGTTGATTCTCTGCTTCATGGCTATTTTCTAACCCTCTGACTCGTTTTTCTGAAATCGCAGTCTTAAATATATTCCACAGCCCATTGGGAGAACGGACACCAATTGTTCCCACCCTTTGAGTCAAGTCTCTTCTCATCTTGGTCCAAAATGATTGTCCACTTTATCCTGAGACTGTGCCCCCCTGTTTTAGTAGAGACCTCCTTTCAATGCTGACCCTGCCCAAGCCCCTCCCTTTAGAATATTGTACGTTTCCTTGTAATCACCTCTTGTTCTTCTAAGCTCCAAAGAACATTGACCTAGTTTGTACCCATCAGGGACATCATTGCAGGGACCAGTCTAATGACCCTTCACTGCACCCCCTTAGACTTGGAGACTGACACTGCCCATGCTACTGCCGATGCTGCCTCCCCAAAGCCCTACACAGAAGAAAAATGTCTTTATTTTTGTGCCCCAATGAAAGTCAACATCCCATTTATCTTCCTGATCACAGGCTGCACCCACATGTTTCCCATGTCAGGATAAATCCAAGAAATTTACAAGTTTCACGTGTTTTAAAAGATAATCTTCTTTTCTATTCTTACAACCAACAAATAATATCTCACTTCCCCATGTTGTACTCCAAAGAAATTTACTAAGGATCTTCCTTCCAAATCCATGACCACTTCCATCTAGAAGGACAAGGGCAGCAGATACATGGGAACACCACCCCCTGCAAGTTCCCCTCCAAACCACTCACCATCCTGACTTGGAAATATATCGCCGTTCCTTCAGTGTCGCTGGGTCAAAACCCTGGAATTCCCTCCCTAAGGACATTATGGGTCAACCCACAGCAGGTGGACTGCAGCAGTTCAAGAAGGCAGTTCACCCCCACCTTCTCAAGGGGCAACTAGGGATGGACAATAAATGCTGGGGAGCCAATGATGCCCACATCCCACAAATGAATAAATTAAAAAAAAGCTCCAGCTGCCACTTTGTTGCCCACTTCACTAACCTGTCTATATCTCTATGCCCACAGTGTGTACCATCCCCCCGGAGCATGTATTGCCAATGTTGGCATGTGTTGTGTTTTTTGACCATCCCCCCCAAGGTTTCTCCGTGACTCAGGTGAGTTATTCACAGGGACATGGTGAGCGATGCCTATAATGATGCCCAGTCTGTGTCACAGAGTACCACAGAGCAGTCGCTGGGCACAAGGGTCAGATTGTGGGTATACTGCCCATAGAATCCGAGGGTAAAGCTGGAGCAGTCCACGCTATGTGAGTTTAATCTGTTGGAGATTGAGGCAGCAAATGGTTAATGAACAAGTTACTGACAGTCTGAACACTGCAACAGTGAAACTGAATCTCTCACATCAGAAAGAATTTATTGATCCAATCCTTGGACATGAATCTCCTCTTGACTGACCCTCTCTAATCCCTTCAGCTGATCACTTAGGGAGTGATTGTCAGTATCTGCCAGAAGCCCATTTCAAAAATAATTTTAAAAGAAGGAACTTGACAATGAGGAACATATAGAATTATGGACATGAAGCAACTATCTGCAGTTAAACACAAATGCACGCTCAAAGAGTCAGCATTTCGCATGATGAGTTCAATGGCCTGCTACAAGTTTCTATGAGTCCTACCTTTGGAGGAGCGGAGGTTTTCAAATTGTCTCTCCCCATCTTTGGGGTTCTTTTCCCACTCCCCCTCGATAGTCGCCTCATCTTCAGCCCAGATGGAGTTCGGGGAGAGCAGGGTGAGGAGGATTATGGTCTGTGGGATCATACCGAGTGGGATCATACCGAGCTGCCACTGCTCCAACTCCACAATGGACGTGCCCCAGAGAAACCTGGCACTGATATTATGGCCCACCCACAGTACCCACTCCAAAGTCAACCCCACCCTCAGCAAAAAACATATGCTGAGTAACCCTGAACCTTGGAGAGATGTCAGGCCCCTCCCACTGGGGTAGCTCGTGACTGTGGGAACTGTTCAGGTGTAGGGGGAGGGTTAGGTCGGGGGGCGGTGTGTGATGGGGGGGTGCGCGACAGTCAATGATTCTCATTTTAGTAACGGTCGCCAGGCTGTGACTAAGCTAAAAACACCATCAACTCACAGGAATGTGTGGTTCGAGCCTCAGTAAAAATTGATATTGTACAGAACAGGCCTAACCATGATTAAGTGCAGAAATAAAGTCTTGAGATGATGGGAAACTGGAACTAAAACCTGGATTTGCTGTTCTCGGTGCCAAGGAATGGTGGACAAGACCCATCGCAGCTTCAAGCCAAAGTTTCATTTCCCATTGGAATCACTGCCCTTCAGTGGAGCAATGGAGGCCATTCAGTGCATTGAGCCTGTGCTAGCCCTCTGTGCTGTTCCATTAGTTCCAATCCCCACTCCCCCATGACACTTTCCCCATAGCCCTGCAAATCTACCCCCCCCACCACGAGGGCTGGATTTATTCACCTCCCCCCTTCAGAGTGGTTTTGTTCAATAAGGGGTGAAGGGGGCATTTATAATTGGCCAGGTGATTTTCTGATCATTGTCCCCCAACCCCAGGCCGGTCCCCATGGAGCGCTGGGGTGGGGTGGGGGGGGGGCGCAGAAATAACAGCCCCCTCCACTCCCGTTTCTAAATAAATCGTTAAGGGATTGACCACACCACCACCCCCCCATTATGTCCACACCGTAACCAGTCATTGGGGCCAGTCAGCTCAGAGTGGGCACCCCCATTTTTATGAAGAAAGGTTTTAGAATCTCAGGAAGAAAGGTGGGGTGTGGTGGAGGGTTGTCCTACACTCATCGGGGGGAGGGGGGACAGGAGCCCTGCCCTGTGGGGAGCAGACACCCCTCCTTTCCTACCCCCAAACCCCCACCTCTCACCCTGCACCAGCCCAGCCTCCTCCTCCCACTGATTCCCGGCTCTACGTCCCTGTCTCCGGGATCTCCCACAGAATGGCCTGCTCTCCACGATCAAGCAGTTTGCATTCCCGCTTCACTCGAAGGGCTCGACCATTCTCCCACTGACGGGTCAATGTCCCACTCTGCATCAGTGTAGCTGCTCCTACTCCACTCCCCACAACCCCTAAACCAGTCACTCACCAACTCCTCCTGCCTGTGGGGGAGGGGGGGGAGGGCGGGGGTGGGGTGGTGGTGGTAGGAGACTTGCCCTTCCCATATCACCCCTTGCCCTCAGTATCCAGCCTCCTCTTGAATGTTCTGTTGAATTGCCCCCAATGTCCTTTTCAGGCAGCACAGACCAGATCACAGCAACACTCTGTCTCAATGTTCCCACTGGGTCATTTGCCAATCCTTCACAAGCTTCAAAATCTCCCCTCCCCTGACCGCATCTCAAAACCAGCCCAGAGATAGTAGGAACTGCAGATGCTGGAGAATCCGAGACAACAAGGTGCAGGGCTGGATGAACACAGCAGGCCAAGCAGCATCATTTCTGCTCCTATGATGTTGCTTGGCCTGCTGTGTTCATCCAGCCCTGCAACTTGTTATCTCAAAATCAGCCCAGCTCGTCCCCACCTCCCTAACCTGTCCTTCCTCCCACCTATCCACTCCTCCCACCTCAAGCCCCACCCCCATCTCCTACTTACTAACCTCATCCTGCCCCCTTGACCTGTCCGTCCTCCCTGGACTGACCTATCCCCTCCCTACCTCCCCACCTACATTCACCTTTACTGGCTCCACCCCTGCCTCTTTGACCCGTCTGTCTCCTCTCCACCTATCTTCTCCTTTATCCATCTTCTATCCGCCTCCCCCTCTCTCCCTATTTATTTCAGAACCCCCTTCCCCACCCCCATTTCTGAAGAAGGGTCCAGGCCCGAAACGTCAGCCTTTCTGCTCTTCTGATGCTGCTTGACCTGCTGTGTTCATCCAGCTCTACACCTTGTTATCTCAGATTCTCCAGCACCTGCAGTTCCTACTATCGCTGTGAGAATCCTGACCTTTTTGCCAGCGGAAACAGCCTCTTGTGACTTACTCTGTCTTTGATTTTATTTCGTCACTTCCACCTGACGAAGGAGCAGCGCTCCGAAAGCTTGTGATTTCAAATAAACCTGTTGGACTATAACCTGGTGTCGTGTGATTTCAGATTGTGTCGACCAGCAGCACCTCCGCACCATGTATACAGTCTGTGTGTGACTGAACCCATCATCCCAGCACCCATTTCAGCGAAATCTCCCTCCGGGCCATCTCAAAGGCCTTCATGTATTTATTTGAAAAGTGCAAAGGTATGTTTCACACCTGATTCTGAAAATGATTAAAAGAAGAGATTAAAGAGGGAATTGTCAAATTTACTGGAAAAACGTTACATCAGCAACAGAAGTTAAACAAATTTTATTAACAGAATGGTAGCCATGTGACCTGATGAAGAACATGTGCAATTTACAATGAAGCTGGCAAATCAGCAACAGGCTGTATTTTAAATAGACTTCAAGGATGACTGTTACAGCATTACATTGTCACAGAAATTGTTGTCTGTTATTAGGGGATGTCAGCTCAATCACATCATCCAATTCTTGATCACATACACTGGGCTTGGAGTGCTTCAGAAATTGTTTTACAGAACACAGCACAGAAATACTGGGGAAAGAGAGAGAGAGATAGACACAAAGGAAGAAAGAGGCAAAGAGACAGCAAGGAGAACACGATCGAATGAGAGTAGACAGGGAGGTGAAGGAGAAAGCTTAAGACAGAAAAGGGGAACAAACTGAAAGTGGAGTCACGGAGAGGAGAGTAAGAGAGAGACAAAGGACAGAAAGGCAATGCAGAGAGTGGGGTAGAGAGAAGAAGAGAGAAAGAGGATGAAGGCAGAACAAGAGGAGAGGCAGAGAGGAAAGATGGGGAGTGGAGGAGAGGGAATGGGCTGTGGGAGATGGAGGGAGGAGAGAGAATGGGCTGTGGGAGATGGAGGGAGG